GCACGTGCCCCTGGCGACGAAGCCCAAGCCGCCCAAGCCCAAGCCCGACAAGACAGATGGGCCTGCTGCGGCTGAAGCCGTGGATGCTGATCCCGAGCCTGAGGGGCGGGGCGAGGCGGGCGCCGACGGCGAGGGCGAGGGCGACGACGCGGCCGTCGAAGCCGCAGGCGACGTGCTGCAGGAGCGGCCAAAGTGTCCAAGGGGAGGAGGAGGAGGAGGACTGAGGAGGACCATGGAGGAGGAGTAGGATGGGGAAGGAGTCGATGATGCGGGGGCTGCCCCACCCCAGGAGTGGTCGATCCCCCCAGGAGTGGACGGCCGTGGACGACGCATTATGGGCGGATCAGGAGCTGGCCGAGCACTTGACGCAGTTGGGCGAGGCTGGGAGTGCGGCGGCAGCATCGGCAGACGCGGAGGACGCGCGGGCGGTGTGCTCGCTGGCGAGGGCGAAAGCGCCAGTGCAGGGTGAGGGCGACGACGCCGTCGACGTCCACTGCCCGTCCGACGACAACGCCGACGCGAAGAAGGTGATGGGGGTGGAGATCGCAGTGGGCACCGGCAGCGTCGACGCGCCCGAGGAGAGATCCCCGCCCCCCCCCGCGTCCTCCGTCCGCCCTTCCCCCTTTCAGCCTGAGAAGATCATGGAGGTCGTCAAGGCTGCGAACGAGCTCGGGCCCGATGCCGCGGTCGAGCTGGGCCAGGAGGCGCGGGGCCCGCCCGCGCAAGCCGCGCCTCTCGATGTCGATATTGCTCGCAGCGTGCTCAACAAACTATTTGAATTCTGCAGACATGCTTCGAGTATAGCATCGGATCCAGCCTTTCTTGTTGGCCCAGAGAAACACATACTTAGCGTGCTTGAACTGATAGAGAAGGGTGCTGGAGTCGAGGTCGTTTCTGTGCGGCTCGTGCACATCGACGACGTTGGCCCCCCTATGCGCGGCCGCATCGTCACCCCGAATAGCGAGGACAGGATCGAGCATGTGCAGCCGCATAGGAAGGGGGAGCGCAACGAGCTGGACGTCGTTCGGGTGCTCTGCTCGCTGAATCTGAAAATGGTCAGGGCTACCGGCATAATGTGCACAAAGGTGCCAGTGGAAGTACTTGCGCTTCTTCGTTTTTTTCCAGCACTGTTGCAGGGCAGATTACGATGGGCCTGCTGACTCCGTAGGAGCAGGGGGGCTCGCGAGGCCTTGCATGGTTTGCGCAGGCGCGGGTGGAGTTGCGACCTGCCCGTTATGCACGTCCACGATGCACGTGGCCGGCGCTGCTCGCGTCGCCACGGCGTACTCTCCTGCTGGCGATGTCGCAGTCGAACGGGGGAGCGTGTCCAGGGATGTCTCTAGGCTGGCGTTGACAGAATTGCAGTGTGCATGTTGTGCCAGAGTATTTGAGCTGGCGGCGTGACGCGCGCTACTCTGATCGGCCCTGCCCTCGCGTAGAGACCCAAGTCGAGCTGCGAGCATAGTGGTCCCGCCAAACATCGATGAGTCACAGATGAGCCAAACAGTCATCGAATCTATGACTGTTTGCATCGGGCCGAGGCCTTATACAGTCGGCCACCATGGGTAGGTCGACCCTGCCCAATCGAGGGCACCCTTGTGTCATACCTATCCCATCCCATGTCCCCTGCAGGTCCTCTGATTAATCGGGGCCAAGCTGCCCTCGGAAGTCCCGCCAGAGTCTTGTGCCTTCTCGGATGCCGCGTCTAATCGCACTCGAACGCTTATGCGCGTTGGTGCGCCCCCAAACAATGATAACTCATGAGCGCAAGTCGGATGGTTTAAACTTACGCTTGTTGGGCCTCGACCCAACGGACATAACATGTATGCCAGATTTCGAGGTGATTTACTTATGCGCGTTGGGGCGCCCCCGAACAAGGATAACTCGTGGGCACAGGTTGGGGGGTTCAAACTTATGGGCGTTCGGTCTCGACCCAACGGACATAACATTTTTGCCAGACTTCGAAGCGATTTGCATATGCGCGTTGGGGCGCCCCCAAACAAGGATAACGCGTGGGCACAATTTGGGGGATTCAAACTTATGGGCGTTCGGTCTCGACCCAACGGACATAACATTCTTGCCAGACTTCGAAGCGATTTACTTATCCGCGTTGGGGCGCCCCCGAACAAGGATAATTCGTGGGCACAGGTTGGGGGATTCAAACTTATGGACGTTCGGTCTCGACCCAACGGACATGACATTTTTGCCAGATTTCGTAGCGATGTACTTATCCGCGGTGGGGCGCCCCCGAACAAGGATAACTTGTGGGCACAGTCGGGGGATTCAAACTGACGTGCGCTCGGTCTCGACCCAACGGACATGACATTTCTGCCAGATTTCGAAGCGATTTACTTATGCGTGTTGGGGCGCCCCCGAACAATGATAACTTCTGGGGTCAGGTGCGGGGCCTCAACCTTTTGCCCGTTCGGGCTCGACCAAACATGCATAACGCGTTCGTCAAATCTGGGTTTGAGACGTATGTTTGCATAAGTTTGTTTGGGCGCGTCCGAACAGACAACTTCCGTAAATTCGGGCTCGCGCGATCGCGTGTTGCACCCCGACGCGTCGGCGATGAATTGCATAAGTCTGTTCGGGCGCGTCCGAACATATAACTTCCGCGAAGTCGGGCCCGCGCGATCGCGCGTTGCATCCCGACGCATCGACGATGAATCGCATAAGTCTGTTCGGGCGCGTCCGAACAGATAACTCCCGACAAATCGGGCCAGCGCGAGCGCGCGCGCCGCGCGCGCTAAGTCCAGGGAGGGGGCGCGCCTGCAAAATATAAGTCGAGTCCCGAAGCGCCCGAACAGATAAGTTTGCAGTTTTTTTGTTGACGCCGTCAACTCATCAGCAGCATTGGCTTCGAGGCACTTTTGTTGCGCCCTGGGGATTACAGGCTTCGCCCGAGGCGCCCCGGGCCCCCTGGGCATGGCTGGCAGCGCAGCAGGTGGCCCCGCGGTCGTCGGCCCGCTCGAAAACCACCCGTCGGAGGAGGCGCCGTTCCCTGGCCTGTCAGGGCGCGCCCTCCAAGACCAGCTTTGGAAAACGTTCGCGGTCAACGAGCAGGCCCAAGTGCAACAATGATGGCGTCAAAATACAGCCTACGCAAGTTTCCTCTCCTCCTCCTCCTCCTCATTATCCTCCTCCTCCTCCTCCTCTTCCTCCTCCCCCCCCTCCTCCTCCTCCTCCTCCTCCATCTCCCCCCCCCCTCCTCATCAATCAGCGCATGATGCACAGTTGCCCCCCCAAACAGGGCCAGGCCCAACTCGAGAAATCATTCGTGTCGGGTGCCCCTAGACATGAATGCGATTTTCCACAGAGCTCCATGGGCGCGCAGAGACCCCGCCCCCCTCCCCTGCCTCATTCGGGGGCCCATCGGGCCTTGGGCCTGGGCGAAGATATCCTAAGTTCTTGGGCCAGGGGCCCTGAGAGGGCCTCGAGAGAAATTGCATCGGATACCCCTCTGAGGGAGTGGTGGCGAAGCCGCGCTTCCAGCCCGACGGCGCGCCGACGTTCGACCAGTACGTTGACAATGATCGGCGCCAACAAGATACAGTCGATGAGTATTGCGAGGATGTTAAGAACGGGGGAGTGAGGCGATGGCTTCGCCCCGACACCTGGGCCATCGCTGCGGACGAGCAAGGGGCGAAACTGCTGGTGGTCTCGGGCATGCACCCGATCAGGGCGGCCTGCAAAGCGCACCGAGAGGCGCCTGCCAACCCGCAGGTCGAGGCCACCATCAAAGCAGGGGTCATGAACGTCACAGCCTTTAACGACAGGGCGCCGAGGTACGTTGCCGTCTACTTGGTCGACTAGGGGAACTCCTTGAACCAGGTCGCATCTGCCACGAGCCACATCGAGCGCATGAAGGATTTGGGTGGAACGCAGCCTCAGCCTCACCCGCCCCTGCCTGGGCCCCTTCTAAGAGGAGAGGGCCCCTCTCCTTTGAGTGCGGGGCCCTCTCCTCTGAGTAGGGCCCCCCTCCCCCGTCCATCTGCGCCCCCCCCCCCCACCCCCCCCTCCGAGAGGGGGGGGGGGGGGGGTGGGGGGGTGTCCAAACGGACAAATGGACGGGGCGTCGTCGCTTCGTCGTCGTCGCCTCCACCAGCCCAGGCGACGTCGCAGCTTAAGGTGCAGCTGGCCAAAAACATGGAGGGCGCGGCCGCCAGGGGCGCCCGTGGGCCCATGGCTGGGCATGAGAAGGAGAAGCGTGGGTTCGCCCCCAACCACCCAAGGAAGATGTTCAAGGATTACACGGCGTTCGGGAACGCATCGGCGGTTGTTGAGAGACCCCAGGAGTTGAAGCTTTGGAACCAGTTCGAGGATTACTCCGAAGCGCACGCGCAGTACTTGAAGATCCCCGTTCAGTGCAGCTCCGACATCCTCCACATCAACGCCTGCCTGGTGCGGAAGATACCTGGCGGGTTTGATCTCCAGAAACTACCGCATCGCAACTTCGCGTTCATGCAATTGCAGAAATTTACGATCCCCACCAGAGACGGCGATCCCTACTTGTTCAAGGACCCGCCTCAAATGAGGGCGAGGAGGGGCGACGAAGAGGATGAGAACGCGGGGGGGTTCGTCCCCCTGTAGGGGGGGGGGGGGGGGGGGGGGGGAAGACGGGCAGGGGGGGGCGGAACGGACAGGAGGGGCAGGAGGAGGAGGGGCAGGAGGAGGATCGACTCACCGACTCACCCTTTGAGGCGGGCCTTCCTGCTGAGGGGGCGCGCCTCCCTGCCTCCTGCTGTGCGTGTGTGTGTGTGTGTGTGTGTGTGTGTGTGTGTGTGTGTGTGTGTGTGTGTGTGTGTGTGTGTGTGTGTGGGTGTGTGTGTGTGTGTGTGTGTGTGTGTGTGTGTGTGTGTGTGTGTGTGTGTGAGGGGGGGGGGGGGGGTTCCGTCCCTCCTCCTCCTGCCCCGTCGTCGCCCCCCCCCCCCCCGCCCTCCGTCTCGCCCTCGCCCTCCCCCCTCGCCCCCCGCCGCCCCTGCTGCCGCGGGGGACAGGAAGATGGCGGCCAAAGTTATCCAGGACTTGACTACGTCCGACAGCCAAGCGCAGGGGTGCGCGCTGCAGGTCGTTGGGCAGGCGTTCGACGAGGTTGCGGCGGAGCTCAATATCAAATTCGATCTTAGCTTGGACTTTGGGCCCGCCAATCCATTGACGAAGCCGTACCTTCGCATGGTTGAGTTCGCTTGCGAGGGGTCGATCTCGCTGCCCGCGATGCCGAGGAAGAACGCCACCGACATCGTTATCCATGGCTTATTTGACAGGCTCCAGGCTGAGGGGCCCCAGGGCGAGTGCGCCGACGGCACGGGCGAGGGCGACGGCAGCGATGGCAAGGCCAAGTCGACGATGACAGTCTTCAAAAGAATCGACACCGCTATCGGCCACGTGGTTAACCTGTTTCGGAGGCAGCTCCTTGCGCACAGCGAGTTTCGGGGGCAGGCCGACGTGCAGGTGGGAGAGGATGAGGAGGACGACGACGTCGGCGGCTGGAACCAGGACCTCATAGAGATAATCAAGGACGAAGGTGATGTCGCCGACGTGCCGCGGAATTTCATCGCCAAGAACGACCCGACCTCAGGCCGTCTGTCTGCCATGTCCCGCACGCACGACGCCGCCGTGAAGATGGCGTCGGCTTTGTGGAAGGTGAGCGAGGATGACGGGTGGCCCTATCATGGCCAGTCCTGTTCGAAGAGCGACAGGATCCATCACGTCGTTGGCGCGATCAGCAAGATCATCGCCAGCGCGCTCCCGGTTGCAGTCTTCAATTTCGTCGTGATGTCGCTCAAGGAGTTTGCAGACAAATGGCCCGCTCCAGGCGATGCCCCCAGAGTTGCCAGGGGACTGTTCGAGGTTTTGAAAGGGCGCGCCGAAGCGCGTTCGTTCATCAAGCTCCGCACGAAGTACACCTTCATCCTACTCCAGGAGGTCTGCGTCATCTTGGAGGAGAAGTTCGAAGGCAAGAGCTCCGAGCTGCAGGTGATCAAGGCAGCCGCTGACCAGGCGCTTGGCGAGGAGATCAGGAATCGAAAGTCATGATGCGTGCCCGCGCGCACTCCGCAGCTTCGCCACCCCCGCCACCTCCCTCCTCCCTTCTCCGTCACTTCTGTGATCAGCTGCTGGCGATGGAATTCTGGAAATCCCAAGCGCCAGCGGCAAGGGCGGATCTTCTTCCCTCTGTCTCCTCCGCTTCCCCCCCCCTCCCGCTCCTTCCCTCCTCCGTCCACGCCCCCTTGGGGCGTGGGGGTGGTCGTTGCTGCGGCGCGCGCGGCGCGGCGCATCGCTTTCGAGAGCCTCGCAGGCGGGCCACTCCATCATTGCGCAGGCTGCCGATGTCGACGCCGAGGTCCCGTTCGAGGACGACGTCGATGCGAGCGGCTCGGTGTGGGTTCGGATATGGGCGAACATGATCTTGAGGTTGGAGGGCTCCTTCAAAAAGCCAGCTGTGGATGCGGCGGATCAAGCAGCCGATCCTGCGGCTGCGGAGTTCAAGCTAGAGATGGCGCTCAGGCAAGCTGTGTCCCAGTTGAACGTCCCAGAGCTTCGGGTCGCAATCGGCTTGAGCACTCGGAACACCAGGGGCCAAGGCGCGATTGACAAGAAAGATCTCATCGACCAGTACGTGAAGTCCAAGCTGCAGGAGAGCAGGAAGAGTGCTGCTGACAGACACATCGACATCTTCAGTATTATTTTTGAGGCTACAGTCGTCGGCAAAGGTGCGGCCAGTGCAATTGACTCTGCCTCGGCTGGTTTCAACCAGGAGTTCGTCCTTCGGGACACCTCTGTCAACTCGAGCGGCGCTTTCATGAGTGAGCTGGTGTCCTTCCTCACGTGGGCATGCCAGAAGCTTCGCCATGCCCGCCCCGTGGACGAGTCCGCGACCGCCGTGCCCAGCGATGCGCCGTTGCGAGATATAGGCGCGATCTACACGAAGCGAGCAATAATATCTACGCAGACATCCATGAGCTTTCCTAGCAGGGCGGCACGGGGCTGGTTCTGCACTTCATCGGCGTCGTGACCCCCGCGCTCGCGGCGGACCCGGAGCTCGCGGTGGGCCACAAGGGGTCGCCGCCGCATGATGGGCGGCATCCCGACGCCGAGGGCTTGCCGAAAGGGACGTTGTCGTTCGGCAAGGTGGTTCTGAAATCTGACGCGTTTGATGAACACCCATTGGTGTTTGACTTGCTGGTGAAATGCCCTGGCGGTGGTGCAGAATACGCGGTGCCAGCTTTGTACGTCCGAGTCCTGGCGCCCAAGGACTGCGGCGGGAATCGCCGTCGTCACCGTCGTCTCCCTCGCCCCCACAGGGGATGACTTTGTTGGGCGGGGGGAAATCTGTAAATATCTTTGAACGTGAACTGGTTTGAGCCTGGCTTGACCCAGAAACTGCTTGAGATCAATTGCCACGGAGGAGGATGGACGGGGGAAGGCGGGAGGTCCTTATAGATCACCCAAGGAAGGGCTACCCTAGGGCTACCCCTAGGGCCTACCCCTAGGGCTACCCTAGGGCTACCCCTAGGGCCTACCCCTAGGGCTACCCTAGGGCTACCCTAGGGCCTACCCTTAGGGCTACCCTGGGGCTACCCCTAGGGCCTACCCCTAGGGCTACCCTAGGGCTACCCCTAGGGCCTACCCCTAGGGCTACCCTAGGGCCTACCCCTAGGGCTACCTTAGGGCTACCTCTGGGGCCTACCCCTAGGGGTACCCTAGGGCTACCCTAGGGTGTCCAGTGGGGCCTATCCTTGGGAAGCCTAGGGCCTTCAGTATGTGTAATCCGCCACACAAGCAAGCAATGCCTTTAATGTCCCGCCCGCCCGCCCGACAAAAGGAATCAGCTTGTAATCCGCCATAATAGTAATCAACTTGCAATCCGCTGCCAAATGGAATCACTTTGTAATCCGCCACGAAAGCAATCAATGCATTTAATGTCCCGCCCGCCCGCCCGACCAAAGGAATAAGTTTGCAATCCGCTGCCAAAGGGAATCCATGTGTAATTCACCACACAAGCAATTATTGCCTTCAATGTCCCGCCCGCCCGCCCGGCAAAAGGCGCCCGACCAAAGGAATAAGTTGAAAATCCGCTGCCAAAGGGAATCCATTCGCAATTCACCAAACAAGCAATCATTGCCTTTAATGTCCCGCCCGCCCGCCAGACAAAAGGAATCAATGTGTAATCTGCCACAATAAGAATCAGTTTGCCATCCGCCACACAAGCAATCAATGCCTTTAATGTCCCGCCCGCCCGCCCGACAAAAGGAATCAGCTTGTAATCCGCCACAAATGGAATCTACTCGTAATCCGGTACCAACGGGAAGCAATTGGTAATCCACCACACAAGCAAGCAATCAATGCCTTTAATGTCCCGCCCGCCCGCCCGACTAAAGGCATCAACCCTAGGATAGACCGGTGAGGGGGGGTCTGTGAGGGGGGGTCAGCGAGGGGGGGTCCCAGAGGGGGGGTCCCAGAGGGGGGGTCCCAGAGGGGGGGTCAGCGAGGGGGGGTCCCAGAGGGGGGGTCTGTGAGGGGGGGTCTGCGAGGGGGGGTCAGCGAGGGGGGGTCCCAGAGGGGGGGTCTGCGAGGGGGGTCAGCGAGGGGGGGCAGCGGGGGGGCGACGGGGGGTCAGCGAGGGGGGGTCTGTGAGGGGGGGTCAGCGAGGGGGAGAGGGGGGGTCAGAGGGGGGGTCCCAGAGGGGGGGTCAGCGAGGGGGGGTCCCAGAGGGGGGGTCAGCGAGGGGGGGGTCAGCGAGGGGGGGTCAGCGAGGGGGGGTCTGCGAGGGGGGGTCAGCGAGGGGGGGTCCCAGAGGGGGGGTCTGCGAGGGGGGGTCTGCGGCGCCGGGGCCGCGGTCGCCGGGGGGCGGCGCGGGCGCCCTGCCCTCGGAAGGGGGAGCGGGGGGGGGGGAAGCAGGGGATCGAGGGAGTAGCGAGGGAGGAGGAGGAGGTGGAGGAGGAGGAGGAGGAGGAGGAGGAGGAGGTGGCGGCGGAGGAGGAGGAGGCGGCGGGAGCAGGGGGGAGGGAGGAGGCGGGCGGACGGAGTGAGGAGGGAGGAGGGAGGAGGCGTGCGGAGGGAGGAGGGAGGAGGGATGCTGCCGGCTCGGATTCCCGCTACAAAGGGGTCCGGCTACCCCTGGGGCCCACCCCTAGGGCTACCCTAGGGCTACCCCTTGGGAAGCCTAGGGCCTTTGGGAAGCCTAGGGCCTTGGGTAGGGCCTACCCTTGGGAAGCCTAGGGCCTTGGGTAGGGCCTACCCTTGGGAAGCCTAGGGCCTTGGGTAGGGCCTACCCTTGGGAAGCCTAGGGCCTTGGGTAGGGCCTACCCTTGGGAAGCCTAGGGCCTTGGGTAGGGCCTACCCTTGGGAAGCCTAGGGCCTTGGGTAGGGCCTAGGGTAGCCAAGGCCCCCGGTGATCTATACCGGGAGGTCGGGGAAAGGGGAAGGACTCTTTCCCCTTTCCCCTCCTCCTTCTCGGAAGGAGGAGGGGGGGGGCCAGAGAGGGGGGATGGGGGGGGGCTGAGGCAGGGGTGAGCGGGTGAGCGGCGTCCTCAGGACGATGTGAAGTTGTTGAACGCCACCGTGGGCACGGTCACCGCGGGGCCGCTGCTGCAGGAGATGGCGCTGGGGCATATCGGTCATCGGTGCAGGCGCCGATTCTTGTTATCGTTCTCGCCGTCGTCGTCGACGACGACGCTCGTCGTCGTCGTCGATCGTCGACGTGCGTCGTCGTCGTCGCCGTCGACGTTCAACGTCGCCGTCGTCGTTGACGCTCGTCGTCGTCGTCGTCTTCGTCTTCGTCTTCGTCTTCGCCATCGTCTCTGACGTTCGTTCGTCGTCGTCGTCGAAGTCGTTGTCGACCTTCGATCTTCGAACTTGAACCCCAAGAGCTTTCGCATCGGCGCCTCGCGGGGCTTTCTCGGGGCCCTCTGGGACCCTTTCCAAGGCCCCCGGAAGGGGCCCAATGAGGCCCCAAGGCGGCCCCAAGGGGCCCCAAAGAGCGGCCGCGTGAAGCCTCTCTTGCGTGACCGATTTCGGGGCCCTCTTGGGGCCCTCTTGGAACCTCTCGAGCCCTCTCGGGGCACTTTTGGATTCTTCCCAAGGCCTTCGGAAAGGACCCAGGAGGGCCCCAGGAGGGCCCCAAGAGGCCCCCAGAGGTGCTATATCTAACCCGCGGGCTGTCTCGGGGCAATATTGGGGCATCGAGGGGTATGGTGTGGACCTTCTTGGGCCCCTCTTCGGGTCCCGAACCAGGCGGGGAAACGCGGCCGCGTTTCCCCTCGTTTTTCAGGGGTGGTATTAGGGGGGGGGGGGGGGGGGGGGGGGGGGCTCTCTCTGGGTTATCTTGGGGCTCTCTTGAGGTTTCGGGTGGGCCGAGATGGCCCCAAGAGGGCCCCGAGAGGTTGTGTGATGGTTGTGGTTTGGCCTGCCAGGTGGTCGTGCCCGTATTTGCCTTGCGGCCCTGGTCATGGTGCACTCTGGGCCTGCCAGATGATGGTGCAGTTTGGCCTGCCAGGTGATGGTGCACTTTTGGTGCGCCAGTTGATGTGATGGTGTGGCATTCGCCTGCCAGGTGGTGGTGCCCAAAGTTTGCATTGCTGCCCAGGTGCTGGTGCTTGTTGGGCCTGCCAGGTGAGGGTGCGCGTTGGCCTGCCAGCTGGCGGTGCACTGTTCTTGCGCCCGTTGATGTGATGGTGGTTTTGGCTTGCCAGGTGGTGGTGCCCAAATTTGCATTGCTGCCCAGGTGATGGTGTATATCGGGGCCCTCTCGGGGCCCCCTTGGGGCTATTGCGAGGCCGTCTTGGGGTTGGTTTGGGGCCCTGGGCCGCGCTTGGGAGCTCGGGCCGCTTTTCGGGCCCCGAACCAGGTGGGGAAACGGTTCGAGATTCAGATGCAGACGGTTCAAGCGGTTCACGATCTATACGACTCAAGATAAACATGGTTCAAGATTCAGCTGGCGTTTCCCAACCTGGTTCGGGGCCCGAACGGGAAGGGGGGCGGGGGGGCGTCGGCCAGCCCCCCCCGGCCCCCCCCCCGGCCCCCCCCCCCCCCCCCCTTCTGCCCCCGTCGGCCCGACCTCCTGGAACTCACGGCGAACGTCCCGACGGCCATCCTGGATTCCACCGTGGAGTTCTCCAAGGAAGGGGGCATGGTGCAGTTGGCCAGGGCCGCGTTGCCCCACGAAGCTAAGACCGTCGCCGCGGCGCGCCAGTCTGCGCCCGCGCAGCTGGCCACGGTCGACGGAGTCGACGGCGATCACACATTCGAATATCCGGGCCCTTCTTCACCGAAGCAGAATCACATGCGCATGGGCAGCATGGGCTCGGGTAAGAAGCCCACGGATTAGGCTAGGTGGCTGGCGGGTGCTGAGATGAGCTGAGCGGCATCGGCCGTTTCTCCCGTCCTGCCTCCACTTGTCCTCCATAAAGTTGGTCCCGTGTGCGCCTCATTCGTCGCCGCGGTTGGATCTGGTTCGAACGACGAAAGTCCGCTGGGCCATGTGTGAAAGCGCTCGCCAGGGCAGCGCTTCGCGCAATTGTGGGGGGAGGGGCCGAGCACGTTATCTATTCCGATTGGCCCTGCTCAAGCTCTCGTTGGTTTGCCGTGCTGCTTCCAACTCCCCGCAGCCTGCCTGCGAGCAGGCTGCGCGGCCTTGTTTCCGCGCTCCTCCGGGGCGGGCCCTGGGGCGGGGCCCGGGTGGCACACTCGGGCAGCAATTGTGCGCAGTTTGCGGTTTGCTCCGCCCTGGAAGAAGTCGACTTGCCAGCCGTTGTTGCTGGCGCGCACCGCGCCGAGTCAGAGAATCGCACTCCTCCTCCCCGTCCTTTTCGTCTCGAGTCGCGACGTATGCGCGTCGCCGTTGCCGACGCGTGGTGGAGTGGCAATCGCAATCGCACTCGTTTGCAAGAGCTTATTAAAGACCACGCATGATGAAACTGGAGCCCTCGCTCGAGACATCTTCAACCCATGGAATGCCATGGGAGCTCGCGAATTGTTTGTCTTGTCAAAAATGAGGCTCTCGCCTAAGACATCCTCAAACAAAGCGAGATGTTTAATACAAGATGATTATTGTGAGGTAGCGATGAGACAACAATGAGGGACGGGTGGGGTGGGTGCCCATGCGCATGCATTTTGGGCCCTGATTGAGACCGCGTCGCGTGTTACGGAACCAATAACATGATACGAATACGAACGACGGTTAGTACGCTTGACGCATGGCTGTGGATTGGGCTCTTGGCGCCCGAGAAGGGCGCCCAGGGATG